CCTTTAGATAGGAAGTGAATGAATTCAACTTGCTTGCTTGCTTGAGCTGGGGGATGAAAGACCTTATTTATCATTTTCAGTGAATGATTCTAGATCAGAATCATGAATCATCAGTTTGATCATTAGACAAAGAAAGCGGGGTAAGCAAGTGGGGTAAGGAACAGTGAATAAAGAATCAAATAATCGAATAATCAGAATGATATCAATAATACGAGACTTCATGTGAAAAATGATTCATCTTTATGTTATCCATCTTAGCTGGGATTCACATAGAATTTGTATGGGATTCTCAGCTGAGTTGGGTAGTCAAGAGATGATTACTTTAGTTAGTAAGGATTCCTGATTTCCAGCCAACAATATATATAGAAAAACTATCTTATCTTAATAAGATTCTTATATAATATATAGATATTCTTGGGAAGTATCGTGGCAGATCTAGAAATAAAATAAATAATTCCTGATAAAGTAGTATAGATAATAGAGATATATTAATAAAAAATAATTAAATAAATAAAGAGATATAAGCATGAATATAATACTTTAATATAAGAAAGAAGAACAGTAGAAGAAAAAGAAAGAATATAATAATAAGTTTTTATTTATATTTTACTGTATTATAAAAACTTTGTATTTTATATAAATATAATTAATAATTATAATGCTATTCATAAACCGCATGTAACTCTGATTCTATAATATATTAGTATAAATTATCCTGTCTTCTACTATAAATTCTCTACCACTCTGTATCAGATAATTATAAGACTATCTTTAATACTGATCCAGGCGGTTCAGCCTAGTAGAGAGAGGTACTATTTATAATAGAATAGTCTAGCTATTATAGTAATAGTCCTTGAGATAATATACTATAGTAATTATAAAAATTATAAGATTATTAATAGTAGTTTTACATTTTCTTAATATCTAAAAGATGCTGATTCCTCTGCAGGAGACTACTGATCCTCAAGAATCAGTCTATCTCATAAATATAGACTATCTTTGTTATTACTAGACAATTCCATTGCATTTAGTGGTTGATTCCTTATCTAGTTGACAGGCTTTCTACCCTGACAAGTAGATCCTATCACAAGTAGCTGCCATTTTTATCTTATTGAATTTACTATATTATTTCCTCGCGTTCTGGTAGATAGTATAGAAATCATTATTATTGTATATAGTATCCGTGTCCTCTAGTATTTTATTCTTTATATAAGTAACTTATACAGGTACATTACTCTGTATTTTCTGAAGAAATAAAAGTATAGTTATAAAGACAAATATTTTATATTATAAAATCTTAGTAAGGATGTAGTTTGCTCAGAAGTTATTAATATATTTAATTACTATAATATACTTAGATCTTCTTAATTTAATAAAATTATATATAATACTTTGGTGAAGCATAATACCATTTTCTAGAATAATTTTTTAGAATATTTTATATATATTATCTACCAGTTCTTTCATGTCAGCAGAGTCTGTAAATAAATCTAGTATTTTATTTAATATATTTTAAGTTAACTATAACTGTGTAATTATTGAATAGATATATTAAATCTTATATTTTTTATAATTTTTAGTAAGTCTAGCCAGATTCTTATTAATCAGGTCTAGTAAGCTGATATTCTTAAGTATTTAATATATTTAAAAATCTTATTTTATCTAATTTACATGTTCTTCTAATAAGATTAGTAGTTCTGGAATACTATCAGATATCTACTTGGAAAGTTTATCTGTTTATAAAATAATTTTAATAATTATTTTTCTTTCTAAAGAAAGATTTTTAAATAAGATTCCGTGTCCAATTTCGTGTACTATACTGGCTGTTTAGTATACTTAATATAAATAAGTAAATAAATAAATAAGATATACTTCTTAGCATAAATATATAATTTTATTAGATCTGTTAGGCTTGCCAAGACTAATATTCTATAGAATATCTTATCTAGTAGTAATAGCTGGTTGTAATAAGACCTGAATAGCTTTACAGTGTAGAGACTGGGCTTATAACTTCTTGAAAAGTACTCTATAGAAGTAGTAACAAAAGCAATAATAAAATAAATAAATAAAAGTAAAAGAGTAAGTTGAATTGAGCTATCTAGGAGAGCAAAATAAAGCAACGCGAAGAGGTGCTTTGTGGGTGGTCCGAGCGCAGCACGTGACTAGCCTACATGAATGCCTTGACAATAAATGTTCTAGAAATCTTTGAGAAAACCCATTCTAACTTTTGTGCCGGTTGATGAGCTCACGACTTGACGTTAGTACGCCTTGTACGCCCTTAGCAATTTCGAACCGTCCGTCGTACAGTGGAAAGACCACAACAGCAAAAAAGGCACAGAATTGCCAGATGATTGCGACCGTAGTCCATCCCGAGAAAAATGATTTGGTGAAGATATAGTCGCGATAGAGCGGCATTGGCCAGAGCACAAAGGTAATCAAAACCAAAACCACGAACATGGCCCACGCGATCCATGACCATCGGTGCAGCTTCCGCAGGGTGTCTTCTGTGAAAGGGTGGCGCACGTCGTCTAAACTGAGACGGCTCGGGGTTGACGTCGGGCTGGCATCCGTCGAGATATAGACCCCTTCAACCTTGGTGTCTTGAGTTGCAGTTGGCGAGGTTCTGGTCGGTGCTTCTTCGGCGAGTTCGATCCTGAGGAACTCTCTCCAGTCGAACGTGTACGGGCGGTATAGAGAAATTACCACGGAATAGAGAGCAGGCGAGAAGAAAGAGCCGATAGCGCCGTACAGTGCGGGCAGCTCTTCTCCAGTCGTGGTCATGTTCACGGCCCCATACATTGACTTGGCCGTGGCGAGCCAAATGGCGAGACCAGTAAAGAAGCCAAGCACTGGCGAAGCGATAGCGGCGAGGCGCGTTTGGCGGGACCAGAACAGAGTCAGCCCGAGAGGGATAATCCCTGGACAGGACAGTATAGGCCGAAAGTAGCCGATCCACGTCATATTAGCGCCCCCGTAGTTGAGAGCAATAGAAATGCCGGTAATAAAGATGGCATGGAATACGACTGTCATGTGACTAACTCCCAGGAGCCGGCGCTCACTAGCTTGGGGGTTGATGTACGTCTTGTACATGTCAAACGACAGAATACTGCTGACGGCGATCATTGAGGATGAGACGGTGCTGGTCAATGCCATGAATAATAGCACGAAAAAGGCGATCATTCCAGACTCTCCAAGAAGGGCTTTGACCAGGTACGGCATCACCATGCCTTCGTTGACCTCAGTTGTCGTGATATCAACGGGATAGGTGGGCCAGATGGGAGTGTGGTGGAGCGCTCGAGCAGTCAGGCCAATAACAGTGCCTAAACCCCAGGGGATACCAAAGACAGCTATGGCAGCCAAGTTGTATGCCGGTACGGTAGAATTCACTTCACTGGCGAAGGACTTTTGCCAAAACGCAGTGTCCTATATCAGAGTGAGTCTTAATGTTTGCCATATAACTGGAGGAAAGGAATGGATGGGCCTACCATAATTACCAGAGCTAGATTACCGAATTTCAAGATCAAGCCCCAGATAATGGCGCCTTTCGATTTCATTGTGAGCAGCGATCCCTCAAAGTTCCCGGAGATGTAATTTTCGCTCGCAGTTGCGACAACCTTGTCGTAAAGTCCAGCCAATCCGCCAACCTCGGGATGTGTGAGGACGGAGAGAGTAAAATAAATGATTAGAATTAAGGCGACTGCGGTATGCAGAAAGTCGGTCAGAAACGTCGCCTTCAGGCCCCCGACAGCCGTGTAAAGAACGACTTTGCCATACTTTGTCAGTATAATACTCTGTGTTATTCAAGGACCGAGCTTACCTCCTAGGGGAATCAGAATGGTCGCAGCAACGAAGTTCATGCCGGAAACACCGTTGATAAGCTGGGATCCGGTCAAGATCATCGAGGCACAGCCAAACACGTTGTTCGTCAAATTCAAGACCATGTAGATAACATGTCCGATCCAGCCGTACCGCATACGAGTAATCTCAAGCGATGTGTGGGCATACGGGACCCGGATTTTGGCCATGACACCCAAGGCAGCCATCAAGGCGATCTGGAAACAGAGACCCGATCCCCACCACTGTATGAGTGATACGTATCAGCATCTGACATAACTAAAATTAAAGGCTTTAAACATACTAGCGGAACTGCCAATCCATAGCGATAGCACATCGCCGCAGATAGCACCGTCTCGTTGATCCACATCCACGAGGAGAACACAGCAGATGCAGTCAAACCCGTACCGACTGATCGATTTGCGACCATGAACATCTCCGACGTGCCAGAATCCTCAGACAGATACACCTTCTGCACCTTGATTGCGATAAGGATCACCCCGCAGAAGAGCACACCAAGGCCAATGAGGAGGCCATAGGCCGTCCCTTGCGTAACGAGTTCGACAGCTGCCATGGTGACCAATGCGCTACGTGGCAAAAGTGACCATCAGCCTCGGATTGCCGAGGAATTTACATCGATGCCAGGCATCATGTCTTAAGTATCTGCCTGATGAGCACAATGCCTAGCGGCTCGCCGATAAACGTCAGTGTCACGCTGTTCTTGGCTATGATGGCGTTATACATAACCCGGCCGAGAACAGGGTGGGGAAGCTGCAAGGATGCAGCTGTGAGACGCTTAATACGGCACTGGTTTCACGGTGGATGAACTGAGTTGCTAGACAGAGATCGGGTGGCCCCTTGCTGGTGGGAGGGGATATGGCGTGCGCCCTGCCGCCGATGGCAACACCAGCGAGAGAGAATCTGATAGGCTTTGTCGGCCAGTAGCGTATCTAAATGACCTAGACCTTACTTTGAATTGGCTGGCCAGGAGCGAAGATCCAAGCACCCAATGGTGCAGAAGGATCACGCATGCTGGTTCTTCACCTCGACTGTTCTTATGCTTCCGTTGGAGCCTGAGGCAGAAACAAAAAGAAAAGGCATCAGGGCAATGAACAGAACTCCACAGAGGCCGACGCATGCAAAATGACACGTACAGAGTATGTTTGTAGCTTACTTTTCAGTCTGTATATTGCGGCTGTCAGCTAAAAGTGGGTCGCAGATGTCCAGTTTCAGCTGGGGCTATAGTTGACCGTTACAAATCTCAATGAGGTTGTTGTGAAGTGATATAATGGAGAAGATCCCAGTCGCAGCCTGACTGATAAGGCAGTAAGAAGGGTCGGACCGGGTTACTCCGACCACTGTTCGATAAGCAGTCACGTGTCAGTAATCTTATCGCCACTATCTTATCGCTAACTTGACTCCTTTGGAGCTCATCATCGAATAGTCAATACTTTGCCTGTCTGGTATGGATTGGGCCAATATTCATACAATTATTCTTCCAGAATATTAGTACTCACTCCTCTTTCCAGAAGCTATAGTACATACCAATTGACCGAAGCTGAAGCTCCATCATCATGATGCTACTAAATGAATCACCATCGTCGTAATGTGTTAAAAATATATATCTTCAGTAGTACTAGCTCAATAATGCTCCTACTCGACCAGGCTTCATCACACAGATGATGTACTAGTACTATGTAAGTCACGACGAGACGAGACGAGACTCTTTTAGAATACCCAAGGAGCCATCCCTCTCAATTTGGGACGAGTTGACCACCATGTTTATCTCTCTAAGATAGACGCGCTGTTACTGGTTAACAATGACACCAAAATCTGACGGCCAGCCAAGTAAGAGGGGGAGGGGGAGGGGAAATTAACCGCCGATCATCGGTGTTTTATTCCAGACATCTATCTCCCTCTACAAGAACCACCCCTCTAGCACTGACTATATATAGCTATATCATATTTCGAACAAACTGAACCACTCTATCATATGTCAAATTAAACAGACGCCGCAACCGCCTTATCAACCACCGCCGCAATCTTCCCCACCAACATCTCCGGCTCACTCAGCATCGGCGAATGACCCGCGCTACAGCGACCAATCTCCGCCCGGGCCAACTTAGCAAACCCGCCCTGAAATGTAGCCGGTGCAGCCTGATCACCCTCACAGATGAGATAGGTAGATGGCAGATACTCATACGCCGCCCGAGTGGTGGGCGTGGTTTGTACCAAGTAAGACTGCGGAATGAGACGCGATTCCCACAGGGCTGCTTCGGCGTCCGGGAGATCACTGTACAGAGTTTTGGCTCCGTTCATGATCCGGAAGCGGCCGTCCGACTAAAAGCAAGAAATTAAGCTGGTCCTTAAGATATTAAACGGATTAGATGATTAAAAAACATACGGTTACATAATTGTTGGGCGACTCGCCAAATGTTGATATGACGGATGTGCCCTCTGGTAGAACAAAGGCAGCATAGTAGAAAAGATGTAAAACACCGCCCTTCTTGCCCTCTGCTTGACGGGAAGTATAGGCGAGGGACTGGGGAATAGCCGTACTGCCCACGATGCCACCGTATGAATGCATTACAACGACGACGGACATTTCCTCTTTTTCGATTAGCTGCTGTAGGGTTTCGGTGATGGTGCGCACATCGTCTTCCATTGTGCGGGTAGGGAAGTCGTCGGCCTCTACGTCGGTGCAGCTGGGGAGGGATGGGTGGGTGACGGGGTATCCTAGGTCGCGAAGTCCCGCTGCTAACTTGGCGTAAACAAGGGGGGTCTGGAAGGAGCCTTGGATGAGTACGATTGAGGGTTTCTCGGTAGCCATTGTGTTTGGGGAATTTAATGCTTGTGTAATTTGGGTTGAAAGTGGTTGTTGGTTTGGTAGAAGTGAGAATAACAAGTTCGAAATGGGGGAAGATATAAGCGCGCCCGGGCACTAAAATCGACGGGCGGATATCATATCAGCCCTTGATTGAGTGGCATCCTGGGCTGATCATCCCTGCTGATTCCGTTATGGTTCGCCGATCGGCAGAGTCCATCGGAAAAAGGCCCCTGCCAAGCGTTTTGATATACAAGATGCTCTCTGATTTAATGGGCAGTTCAAATTCAAACTTCCCCGAAATACAGCAGGAACCTCCCATTTCACTCCTGACTTCTTCAAAAACTAGCACCAACATTCGAATCCACCCGCGTTATACATACCAACCAACATCCGCAACGCCATTTTGAAGATCAAGACTACCCCACTTCTCAAGAAAGCCGTCCAGTTCCGCCTCATTAAGTGTATGATCCCATCTCGTCTCCGACAACGAAGTAGTGTTCAGATAAAGGCTGCAAAACTGTTCTGGAAGGCTCGCATCCCACATCTTCCGAAAGTTCACAGAGACGGCACGATTATCCGGCAGAAGAGCTATCCCTTTTTCTGCGCAAACACCCGCAACATCCGCAAAATCTCTTTCAAAAGAGTCCTTCTCTGGGAAAAGGAAACGCAGTGACACCAAGTTCAGTGAAGGCGTTGCAATGGTCACTGTTGTCAAGGTCCTCTACCAGAGTGAAGAGCGCCATACTCACCCAGTGAATGGTCGTCGGTGAAATGTCATCTGGTCCCCACCGGGCGCGAGGAATGTATAGAAAGTCGATAATTGCTAAGGCGGAATCCACGCAGCCTTCCTTGCGGCCTCGCGGGTTATCTTGAAATTGTTTTCACCATTCGTGTCTTCCCTCTTGAGGAGGCTCCAAAGCATGATCACCACCGCGTGATAGAGCATACTGGATGCAAGTACTTTGGTTAGTAGCACGATAATAAAAGTCCATGCTGTTGTCGGTTTCGGGGGTGGGTTATGGTCCTTACTGCGAACTCAACGATTGAGAAACAGTGGGGTTGTCGGGGGTTAGGCATGTAGGAAGGTTGCTCTTCCAGACGTCTAGCCGTTCCAGGATACCTTTAAGGGCCTTTTCCAGTTCATCGCGTGGTGAATTGAGGCCGCTTGTGAACACGAGTCGATTCGCATCCACGTTAATCTCACTTAGCGTAGTGAACCTGTTCAGCACGCAAGGAATGTGCGACTGAACTGGATCCATTTGCCGAGGGTACGCGGTCCAGATATCTTCCTCGAGATGATCAATGGCCATATGTTTCATGAGCGAGATTGATGCAGTACTAGAATATAGCTTAGGATTAAAAGATGCTAGCAGTCAGATGTGAGCAGACTTACGTTGTAAGATTGTAGATGCCCCAGATGGTGTTATCAATTGCGCGACTTTCCCTGGTAGGGGTCGAGGACGGCGAGTCAAGATGCATCTTGGCGTATTCCTCAGCCATGCTGCGAACTTGACCGAGATACCACCAGCCCATGCGATTCTTACCCATGGCCGCCACACTGGACAGTGAGGTTTAATGAGGGGACATGTGATTTAGTTGGGAAATAGCTCACCACACGAACAGCACCCCGCATCCTTGAATGGATGGCATATCGAGCCGACCCTCTATCTTCTTGTAGAGCTTCTGCGCTTCTTCGTAAAAATGGACGCCTTTCGAATTTGGATTATTCGGGTCGGCATAAGCCTCTGGACAGTCGGAGTGAAACTAGGTTTGTCAATTAGCGGACGACAAACAAACGCTCTGTGATAACTCATGAGCTTACGCATGCCTCGGCCAAGATGCAGTTCACAAGGAATGGGGAACAGGATTGCGAATTTGCTTTTCCTGCTACAGCGTCACGAAGAAATAGCTCCCGATCAATCCAGTTATAGAACGGATGGCTCCAGGTCAGCCATAGGGAGATTAGATGAGATACAAAATCGTCACTTTCAGTGACCGAGGTCCACGGGGCGGCTGAAATACGATAGACGGGTATATCTTCAGGATGCTGGATATCTGGGCCTCGATGCGATGACATTTGTTTGTTCAAGGTCGGCGTAGTCTCTCGTTCAAGCTCCGAATTGTCGTTATCTATGTAAAATTTAACTTCGCTGAGTGGAGCCTTACTTCGCATGAGATTGAGAACTTGAATAGCCTTGGAGTCAGAGCTATTTTGAAGTGCCTTGACTAGCTGCAGCAGGTCATCGCGCTCCTCCTCTAGCTTTACAATCTTCCGTTTGTGAGCCAGCCTTGCGAAGCCGAGGGACCGAGGCGTTGGGGGTAGAGGAAGGGTTGGAGGTAGCTGGACGTTGTGGAGCTGGAGCAATGGGCTGCATTATGGCGATATTGGGAAGTATTGGAGGTTAACGGTGGGGTCGACAAGGAAGTTTCAGTGGTCTTTGACAATACTATGGAGATATAGTTGGAGTGGGGGTGGTGCTGGTGATACAGGGACAACGCTGTGAACCAAGGGGGGAGGTGGAACGGCGCCGGATGATTCATCCGCCCGTAAAAACTGGTTTTTCCATTTTGACAGATATGGATCACTCCACTGTGTATGGGTCCATTGCAAGCTGCTGATTGGGTTGATGATCATGTAGGGCTTGCACTAGTAGCCTATTGCCGGTAACGCTGGCGATGCCCCATACTGCCCGTCCTGACCGCCTTGAAGCAGCACTTATGGCCGGGAGGTTCCGTGGCAAAGCGCAAGGACATCCTGTAAAAGCAGTCCGTTGATCATATTCCCATAGGTAGACGTGGCTCTCATACGTTGGACCCATGATAGACAATATTTAGTGAATACAAAACCCATAACCCTAGACACGCACTTGTCAATTTGTCATGGAAACATCCAATAGTCAGGCTTATCGTTGTCGCATTGGTTCGAGGACAGACCATGTGCCCATAAGGACATGGGTGCTGCCTCCCTGATGGCTTATCAGAGCTAATTGTGAATTGCGTGTCATTGCGTATGCACTTCTATGTCTCCTCATGAACCAGGTAGGTGGCTGTAATCACTGATAATCTGCTCATACACAGGCAATTCTCGCACTTATACATGAAAGGCTCGGTATATTCCAAATACTTCATTTATTAATCCTCACATGAGTCACTCTATCTGATAAATAATAAATATAAGCATTAACATTCGTACAGGAAGTCTATGAGGACTGACCCGTTATAAAAGTTTCGATGGATTGTCACCTACTAGATTTTTCCATGTCACTGACTGCACATCCAAAAGGACAAGGCTCTTTATAACGACCAACCTGAATCAGCAGTACCTTTCGTGTGATAAACAATCCCACCGAGACTACAATCCTACCGAGACTATCATCACCACTAGTCACATCTCCACGATTTAAAACAACAGAATGTCCGAATTGTATCGCCTAGATCAGCCAAATTGTGAAGTTGTGCGCTGGGCCGAGCGCTTAAAACAGATCCTCACCCAAAAACACAACCCCATCACCCAGTCCGAGACCCAAAGCGGCTTCCACCCACTCAAGTACAATATCATTCTTGAAAGGAGGATTTTCGAAGATAAGAGCCCTTATGAGGTCTGTAAATTTGTGCACCACGATTACAACGAAATCATTATTCTCGTCGGTTGCAGTAAAAAGCCTAACACCAAGCTCCCCACATCTGTGTGGCTGGACGCAAGAGCGCACGAATTGTGTGCTGAGACTGACTCGAGATTGCCTTCTGATAAAGGTCTCTATGTTGCAAAGGTGTGGCTGGGTCACGTACACTTTTTCAGGGCTGTGCGTTCATATGGTGGTTGTTATGCTATGCATCCCATTGTCAAGGGAGACAGATGGCTACTGGATGGGGATACCGATTTGGTCTATGATACCTTGAATGAGATCAGAGCGCAGTTTGGCTTCCCTCCACTTCATGAGCCTTTTGTGCAGCTGAGCTCGTTGGAGAACTATCAAGTTCTTGCGGAGACCTCCAGGATCATGTCTGAGTCTGACCCGAAGGTTGATTATCGTGATTGGTTCACTGATACTGATCATGAGGGAAATACTGTGGTTGATAATCAGGTGAAAAAGGAGCACTGAAGCGAGTCGCCAGGGACAATTCTAGAGTGTTGATATGATTTTGTTTTGTGATCAATGTGATTTGTCTCTTGGTCGGCGATTGTGGCTTGTACTTCGGGTTATTCCTTTGCCCTAGAACCACTATTAATTTTAGTGCAGACTACCTCAACAATACAGTGTCTTTGCTTTGCCTACTTTGCAGATCATGTCTTTATTCGACTGTATATTCCAAGACAAGGCGCTGCCGCACAAGCATTATGGTATTCACGCCAGTATCATACCGGATACCGGATGGTGTAGCGTAAGGTGAAGGCACGACTTTGAATGGTAAGGCGTGAATTCGAAATACATAAAGCGCTTTATATTGTGAATCTGAATAATATGATCTGACGGGAATGTCGGCAGTGAAGAATGTTCACATTTAATAAGAGTCACTTCCTGCCCAAATTATCAGCAGCACCTATAAAGCCTTCGCCTGCGCCACCTTCCTCTTCCTTCCCTTTCCATGAAAAATAGCTACTTTATCAGGATCAAGAAGAATACATGATATTCATAGTTTTTCCAATAACTAAGCATGAAATTATGGTCAATTTTCAGACATACACATAACATAACCAGGCTTAAGAGGCTTTATTAGAAAGCTCGCTTTGATATACCACCTTGCCTAACTGTACCCTTACTTTCTGACATAATCACATATCCACAGTCCGTCAAACTCAAAAGGCGAATGCTACGAATTTGTATTTCGTGACTAGCATTCACAGAGAATGAATGTCATATGAAGTTCCTCGTATTACTTAACCCCATCGATACTAAAAAGAAATAGACGGTGCATACTAACTGCACTACTTCTTCCACCATGTCCCAGTGACCGGTCTATCTGCAGTTCGAGAAGGACATGGATTTTGGGAACAAGAAATGCGTTATATACGGCATGTCCTGAACACCCGCTATGCAGTTGAGTACACAACTACAATCCAGCCAACGCCGGAAAAAAGCCCATACCATCGAAGTACTCAAAGTGAATATTGTTCGCACATGGACACCGCTAAGAGAGGGCATATACCGGAGCCCGGAGTGATGCTGTCCTCTTCAACACACTGGACAACAAATAGGAGCAGAGCACAGAGTACCAGAATAGTGCATCCCTTGATCACTTAATGCGATCGATTAATCTACCATCTCTAAGAGAACGATATGGAAATTTATCTGAATATCCCCGATGAACGCAGATATTTAGTACCGGGTAGAACCGGTTACTCACCCTTGAATACGTGAACAACGCTCATGGATCCTCTTTTTGTGCCACGCCTGAAGGCTGGGTGAGTCAGATATCCTCCATGTGCTGCTATACATCAATCTGAATGACACATAATAAGCGCAATCCCCACCGGCCTGGAGGAACCGCAAGGGGATAGATGTTATATTCATATTCCGGGGCACGATGAGAGAAAGGCAATCGACGAAGGTATCAAGGTGTACTTTGATTTGGTAAAAACTGAATCTCAAGCTTGAAAGTCTCAAAAGAATCTCCTCATCTTTTCCAGTGACAAGTCTGATTCCAGAACTTGCCGGTAAGTTTTCTTGGCAATTTGGAGGTTGTTAATAATGGAAAATGGACTATTTCGTCGAACAATTGGTTTCCTGTGACCCTTAATTTCTGTACGCTGCTTTGGCTGCGCATTTGCCTTATCTACGATCTATTGCTTGAATATACGAAGTGTCATTGTTAGCATACTCTCGCAAAAACTGAGACGGATACCAGGTTAGTTCAAAACCGTTCTTTGCGCTCATTTGTGAGTTACGGTCATTCTGATTATCTGCAGTTTGAGATAAACATCAAACTACGTCGGGGTGTTGAAGAAACTGTATAGACTGTCTGGATGAACAGGCCATTCGCTATGATACAGAAGTCGATGGGAAATGGGATAAAGCAAATCTGGTAGTCTATGAAGTTAAGATACCAGGAGACAGGTGTCTATTATACACATCTTGCGAATTGACAAGCAGCACATTTGTGAACACTTCGACTTTGACTAGTATTGTCTCACATATAGTAACCTCATTATAGAGTGATATAATGGCTACGTGCCTATGTTGTCTTTCAGGCCAATTACCCCAGTCCGGTTTCATTGCACACCCTCGATAATGATAAGTCCCGAATAATGTCGTAGATTGCCATTGGAAAGATACTTAGATAAGAGGTGTAGTAATGGAAGCTAGAAGACGAATTATGTTCTACTAGCAACTGATGGTGGAGACAGTCAGATGTGGAAGGCTATGTTGCATCCAAACCACCACGCTAATTGCTTCCCGGCTAATCGAACGAAGAATTGTTATAATCACGTTCTCCGCTAGAATCATCGGTTGCTCGCTCTTCTGTCGTGAACAGGAGATCAATACCTCCTACCACTTTACAGAACGCCATACCCTGCCTGATTATCTGGCAGATGAGACTCACAGTCTTCTGCTGATCGAAGTTCCAGGATAAACCCAATTTAGCAGAATACTGCAATTTGGATATGATTAAGCTTGGGAAAGAGCAAGAAAAGTAGCAACCACGAGAGGTATATTAGATTTCTTACCTTCCCGTCAGCAATAATGTGGAGAAAGTTCCAATGATAGGTGTCTGTATGAATTCCGTAGATTGACCTATACTCACCGGCCTCCTTGTGCACGCGTTGAATAGCGACTGTGTCGGATGAAGTTAATCAATCACCTTCGCAATTAGGTATAGCATTGGCAGAACAAAAATACCTGGGTGAGCTTGATACGTATTGATAGAACACTGTCGACTAACGATTTCTAGCAATGATACATCATGCTCGCTGAATGGCCGGCCGTGAGGATACCTCTGTCTACGGGCTCGCAACGGATGGTTCTTGCTGAGAATTTATTCGGTTGGATAACGATGACAAGGTAACCCTCGTAGGAGCAGATAGTGCACTATCGTTCTATTCTCGACAGACAAAATGTTTAGTACACGAGGCACAGTTATGAATGGGGACAGGGAGAGGCAAAAGGGGTTACATCAACCTTGAAAAGGATGATTACCCACGCTAGCGGGTTAGTCAATGGTTTGACGCGTTGCAGTAACTTGGAGGAGTTGAGCGGGCTTGAGTCTGCGCGACCTTAGTAGAAGGTGAGTCCGGAAGGGAGGAGATGTGAGATGGAAATTTTAGAGCAAGAATGCTATTTCAAACGCTAGACATACCGATCAGCCAACCAACGACATTCTCGGCGGATGACCGCATCACTATGCTCCCAACACGAGTATGCATTTCCTAGAGCAATATGGGCTGGAATGAGATAAGCCGCAGTGGCATCACGGCGCAGTTTGAAATGGTGATACAAGGGGTGTGATTGAAGGTCTGACAGTTATTCTCCGCGCGGGTGAAACCATTATGGACCGATACGAAGTGATATGATGTGATACGGACGATGTAGCGAAGAGAGACCTCTTTCTATTGTTCGCCCAGTTCTAGATATAACATCGTATGATTATGCCAGGTCAAGGGGGTTGCTTCTTCTCTGAGCGGGTTTGTGATCGTGGCTTCCACATCAACGCATTGCAACCCGAATTCGGTGCATATATGAACCCACGTCGTATATGATATTGAGCAAGGAATTGTAAAGCTGACCAATAATATAAAAAAACACCATATTCCAGGAGTATACTAGTAGCATCGTATTTGGGGCCTTCGTTTCCTTCCAGGGATATATATCACTCGGCTTTGCGTATCACCTCATCTCATCCCATTATCTCACCACATCCGACTTCTCTTCGCCGAACATCCCTTCCCGTCGCGGGGATATCTTATATCCCGCTTCATATTGCACAAGGAGAGGTGTCCTTCTCCGAAAGACAAGAATATAAATATCCTCCGTGCTTAGTGACCAAACGACGTCAAGATGCATCTCAGCATACCCAGCACCAAGCTCCTCATCACCCTCAGCATCGTCACAACCACCATGTCCACTACCACTAGCACGAGTCCAATGCTAACCCGCGACGTCTGCATCATCGGCGGCGGCGCAGCAGGAACCTACGCTGCCATCCGTCTTCAACAACTCGGCAAGTCCGTTGTCGTAATCGACCACAAACTGCGTCTGGGCGGACAGACAACCACGTACACCAATCCAGCCATCACCCCGCTTCCCATCGAATACGGGGTGACCTACTACCAGAACATGTCTATAGTGCGGGACTTTTTCGGTCACTTCAACATCCCGCTGACCTACTCGGCATTCGATTACAAGATCGACATGTTTGACTTCGTCACGGGGACGGCCATACCTGCTACTGCGGAGGCGGAATCCAACGCTGCTATGGATCGCTATATCGCGCAGATGAGAGAGTACCCGTATCTGAGGGTCGGGCTTGAATTACCTGATCCTGTGCCGGAGGATCTGGTGATGCCGTTCGGAGAGTTCGTGGACAAGTATGATCTGGAAGCTGGGGTTGGGGACTTGGGAGGTTCGATTGATCCGTTGGGAAATTGGCCTGATTTGCCGACGCTTTACGTAATGAAGTACGCGAATTTGGATGTTTTGGAAGGCGATAGGACTGGGTTTGTGAGACCAAAGAGTCGGAACAATAGTGAGTTGTATGGGGATGCGGAGAAGGAGTTAGGGGAGGAGGGATTATTGTTGGGGAGTAAGGTTGTCAGCATGGATCGGGATGGGAGTGCGGACTGGGTCTATGTGACGGTGAGAAAAGGAGAGGAGGAGACAACGGTCCAAGCTAAAAGCTTGGTGGTGGCTGTGCAGCCGAGCTTGGACAGTCTGAAAGGGTTTGACCTCGGGGTTAAGGAGAAGACTCTGTTTGGACAGTTCAACAACTTGTTCTTCTATACGGCATTGGTGCGAGTCAAGGGGCTGCCAGATCGGACTTGTTACATGAATCGTGGGGCAAACGATCCGTTCTTGATCCCGCAATTGCCTGGGATGCTTGTGCTCAAGCCTACGGAGGCATCGGAGCTAAAGGTGGCGAATTATCTCAGCACGAAGGCGTTGTCGGAGGAGGAGGTGAAACAGGGTATGCTTCACGATATGGAAAGCATCCACCGGAGAGCAAAAGTCGACTTCCCGGACCCAGAATTCCTGGCCATTGGGGATCATAGCCCGTACCAGCTGACGGTTCCGGCTGAGGCCATCGAGAACGGATTCTACCGTGATCTCAATTCCCTGCAAGGGGAGCGTCGGACGTTTTACACCGCGGCCACATGGGAATCTCATAGCACACCGCAGATCTGGGAGTTTACCGAGCAGATGTTGCAAAGCCGTCTACTAAAGTCGCTGTGATAACTTAATAGCCGATGTCGAGATAGAAGTTCTGTGAATATGAGCAGATGCTAGCGTATCATTTTCATGTAGGTCATTGAACTTAGCTTGTAACAAGTCCGCAGATCCTTGCGAGAGGCACCGGCAGCAGAGTAGAACTAGAATACCGTCAGACAAAGCAGAGAGTGCATGTAATTTCCGAAACTCCGCGGTTGTGCGTCCATCCGATGGGCCACGGAAATGATTCGACAGGCAGCCGAGACCGAGGCCGTCAGCTGTGGAGAGCCGAGTTTCAAGGTCAGCTGTGAAACCTTGTACAGGCGTTGTCATTCCCTCACACAGACGTTGGGTGACCGATAACCCAGATCAGACATGACCAATTGGATATTCTCCGATCAGGAAGTACGAGAGATCAGGCCTGCGCGCAGACTATTGTCCCGAGACAGGTGTAACCATATTTCAACTTCATGTAGGACAAGGCCAACGAATATTGATCAGATAGTTGCAACATATTCCATCATTAACAAGAAATTGCCAAAATAATCACAAAAACAACGGACTTCGCCGGGCCATCCTGGTTTAACCCGAGCTGAGCTCAGTATATGGAGCCAATTGCTACTCAACACACCGGAATTTCGCTTCCTGCTTCCACTCGCTGGCAATGTCTAGCTGACCAGTCTGGTCGTTAACAGCCAAGAAACGATTACTATAATCTCCACCAGGTACGATGGGGATAAGCCCGTACTGTGATAATCGGGAGGCCACGCGTCAGTAACGTGGGATCCAATGGCGACTAATGTTGCGGCATGCCAGCTTACCTCCAGTGCGTCATCGCTGTAACCACGTGTCTCAACCCAGATGTTATACACACAGTTATCATACAGGAAGACTACCTGGAAGCGCTGGATAAGATAATGTGTACTGGATGTAACAAGAAGGGGATTACATACCTTGTCTGGGTTTCCGAACTTCCCAATCAACTTCGAGTGCGAGAGCGAGTCATTAGCACCAATTCGCAACGGATAGGAATAAGGAGCAACCAACGCCATCGTCACGACAGAGCCAGAACTCGCCATTAGCCCGGAGCTTATCCCCTGGGCTAGGCTGGTGGTCGTTTGAATGGAGAGACAGGCGATTCTCGTCATCGATGGCCAGAACACGGCCGGTGAAGGAGACGAAGAGACCAGAATGACTCTGCATTTTGCAATGGATTGACAGTGGGCCGAAATCATGAAAGCTACTGCAAGCAATGTGATGGTGATTTTAATGTAAAACTGAAAGGCTGGGAACCGTAGCTTAAAGCGGGAATCTTTTTATGACGTGTTCCATCGCACCGCATGATGCAAAAATGTAGGATCGTACCAAGTTGAGCGTTCCATGGCATCGGCTCACTGTGGCTGGCCATGGCTCTCGTGGCCTTTGCTGCATAGGGGGGGGAGGAGGGGGTTGCTCCGCTCTTTCCAAGTAATATGATGAAACATAGTCGGCCAGTAAGCCTGGAGACCTGGTCTTGGAACGAACAAGAAATACGGCGATGATGATGTAGTCATTCTTAGGAGAGAGGAGCGTGCTGCGAACACGAACATTGAATCTCACATCATCTCCAACGGGAATGCCGTTTGAAGTCTCCTGATGTCTCAATGCTAAGCGACCACAGCAAATGCTGTAAACAGCAGGACTTTATATGACACCACACGCCTTGCATGGCTTATTCGAATCTCCTCGGAATTGCATTCCATAAGCCATGATTCCGCGTCTTTATTTTTTTCTGTGCATTCTGCAGGAAACACAAGCACAATGGATCAGGCGAACAATGACAGCAAAAAGACACATTGCTTTTCCCAGGCAACAGTGAATGCCATGTGGGCTGCCAGGCTATCGCCAATGAGCGTGCAGGCGGTTCATCAGGCATCGGCGTTCCAGGAAGAGATGGTTGTTGCAACGATTGCGGACAGCAAACATCAGGTCAACGTGGAAGCACAACACTTCACCTGTCGTGAAAGACTCAATGTGGCTCACTTGAACAATGCCGCTCATGCACTGGCCCGAAGACATGTTGTCCTACGTTCCCTCTTTTGCTGGAATGATCATGCCACAAAACAACATCCGGCCCGGATATTGATGTTAGTTCTTGGAACCGATTACCCAGTAGCGAATATCAAGCTTGTCAGTGAAGAACCGACTCAGGATACGAATACAGAAGATTCCCCTATCGACTTTCATGTGCTGGGTTTATCTGACGCTTCAGAAATTCGCCAATGGCATGGAGAGATGCCATGGAGGTTAACAATCAACTCATTGCCTGACCAGAAAGGTTCTCGTCTATCACTGTGCTACCATACCGCAATCCTGGACGAGTCTTCGGCTTGTCGGATGTTGCGCTACCTGTGGGATGAGCTGCAGGCCCCCGGTTCCACCGTCGTGTCCGACTTCATTGCAGCCCACAAGGGCCTGGCTTTCCGACGCAGCCATGATATGCAACGTCGGGTTCGAGAAAGATTTGCGGGAGCACCTCCTCTCCTAGCCGTCCTCGGTAGCACAAAGCCACTTGACAGAGAGGGGTATGGTGTGACGATTGACAAAGTGGCTATGCCTTACGCTCGGACCGATTGCCTGTTGCGAGCGCGGCAGGCCTTATATATGGCACTCTGCACATTGGACGGGACAAAAGAGGCCACATTTTTAGAGTTAACGCCACACAGAGGAGCACTCCCCTCGAACCATAGAGAGGTTTTGGGTCCAATTCTACAGCCTCAGATTCGGTGGACTCAACATGATAGCCACACATCACTCCTAAGAGTTGCCGAAAGTCTTGCTTCGGGATGCGACATTAACCACGCCTTCTCACCTGGCGAGCTGTGCTCCTTCATTTCGAACGCGGCATATCGATCTTCAGTGTCTCTTATTTGTCACATCGAGTCATGTGCCTCCACTGGAGTCGGAACCTGGACTTGGGAAGGCAAAGATTCATGGTCAGATGTCCCTTTGGTAATCGAACTGATTCCATGTGGTGGGGATTCCTACCTCGTCCGCAATTGCTACCACCGTGACCTGTTCACAGACAATACCATTGCGGCATTCCAACAGTTCTTCTGCGCGTCCCTAGAATGGCAACAACATGAGCATGATACAAGGAGAGACATTACTCTCGAGTTTGCGGTCCACAGTATCCTGAGTTTATGTCCCGTTGCAGCTGTCTACCTGGAGAACCAGAAGAAGATCCAAACCAACAATAAGCATGTCGGCGAGTCACCAGAGACTATCATGCTCAGTGCTACTTCTCACATTACCATAGAGAAGTGCACTGGACATACACATCATTCTCTGAGTAACATGAGGGCCGAAGGCGGTGCATGTGCGCATGACCTGCTGGAGAGGAGTGCTAGAAGATTTCCCGAGAAGATTGCCTTGCAATACGAGATCTCCGACTATTTGACATATAAGGACTTGAACGATCGTTGTGATCAGCTTGCTAAATCCTTAACTTTTTGGATCGATCGTACCCAACAAACGTCTCCTGGTGAAGAACTCATTATCCCACTTTCATTCGACAAAGGTTTTGAGCTAGTTATAGCTATGTTCTCGGTGCTGAAGGCAGGGGCGGCTTTCGTGCATATCGATGCAAGTCTGCCAGCTAGCCGAATAGTGGGGATCATTCGGAAGGCAGGGGTGCCATTCATTCTTTACGATGGAAAGGCTGACACGCCTACGTTGAACGAAGTTGCCAGGAGGGAAGGCAAGGCAATCGTTGCGCTCAACGAATTGGCCAGGATGCAGGACAAGCATACACTTCCGTTCATCCGGAGTGAGCAACTAGGTTCATCGCTTGCGTACATTCAAGTGACATCTGGAACGACTGGAGAGCCTAAGTGTATCATGATCGAGCACCGTAATTTGGTGGCTTTCATGGAAGCCGACGAGCCGGATTTTCTAGGAACCTGGACGACCAACAAGCTGCAGCTCTCAAACCGCACCTTTGACATAGCCATGGCAGACATATTTGGCACATTGGGTCGCGGAGGAAGATTAGTGTTCGGTCCAGACGCAGCCATACTGTCCTCTCTGGCAGAATGGCTGGAGATGACCAGCGTTACGGATCTGAATACGTCTCCCTTGGTCGCAGATTTGCTGAAGGACCATGTCCCAGCTTACCTGAGCGTCCTGATGGTCGGCGGAGAGCCTTTCCACCCCTCCCTCATAGAGGGTATCCCTAAGGAGTGTCGATTATACAACAACTATGGCCCAAGCGAAACAACCTTCGTAGCGACGACATACACTGTATCAGAGGAGGATAAAGATAAGTCAAGCGTCCCGATTGGACGCTCTTTTGGATCCTGTAGTATTCATATACTGGCACCTGAAGGCACTGAAAGGGTCAAAAGCGGAGACATTGGCGAACTCTGCATCAGTGGGTCCCAAGTATCGAGGGGTTACCTGGGACAGCCCGAGATTACTGGCAGAAGTTTTGTCTCAGATCCTTCTGCGAAAGATGAGAAATGCAAGCTATATCGCACTGGAGACCTTGGACGATTTCTACCCAACGGAAAACTGGAGTATACCGGGCGTAAAGATAAGCAAGTGAAACTTCGAGGGCAGCGTGTCGAAACACTCGAAATAGAAATGGAGATTAGGAAGCATCCTCGAGTGAAGGCTTGCGCAGTCGCCACAGGCGACTCGAGCCATGGAATAGCGCTCGTTGCATTCATTGAGACACAGCCGAACCACCAAGACTCATTTACCGATGCGACAGCTGAAGAGTGTGACTTGCCGAATCTGGTAGCTGAGCTCAAGACCGTTCTATCCCAGAGCCTGCCAGATTATATGATACCAGCGCGCATTGTGAAGCTTGATGATGGCTTACCTCGTTTACCTAGCAACAAGCTTGATCAGAAAGCACTGTCATCTCGGGCAACAGAGGTTTTAGCAAGCCAAGCGTCCCAAGCGGGATTGGAATACGTCCATCCGCGGGACGAATTGGAAAGGCATGTCTGTGAAGCTTTCAGCAACGTGTTTTCTTGCCA